AAAAAAAAAAAAAAAAAGGAAAACATTTCTAAATCATGTAAAAGGTTAAAAAAAAAAAAATACCCTTAAAACTCCCTTCTGGAGGGTTATCTTTTCTGACATGTAGAAATAAAGGTTAGAGATTTTTGGACTGTGTCTCCCGGTTTGCATTGCAAGGCAAACTCCAAGCTGTATTATACCTCAGTATTGCAGACGTTTATTTTGCATAAATTATGTTTAGCATCACTATAAAAAAAAAACGACTGGGACTCGGTTTTATGTGGCTGGGTTTTTCCTCCTTATTGCTTTTGTACAAAGAAACTTTAATGATTGAGCTCAATGGATTACAATCAGGGGCGTAACAATCGCTATGGGGCCCGGGCTCAAGGGGGGCCCGGCCGGGGCATCCCTCTGATGCCGTGTGGGTCGCTATGGCATGTAAAGGTGCCGGCTGTCACTGACGCAGCTCAGCAGCGGCTGTGAAGATCACGGACAACCTGTCAGTGATGTGTGCCGCGGCACGTTTCCCCTCACAGCCGCTGCGGAGCGGTGTCAGTGACAACCAGCAGCTGCGGCAGAAGAGGCCGGCGTTCGCAGTGAAGGAGGAGGCGGGGCCCGCCTACGAGCAACCCCACCTCCTCTTACATCACTGGCCAGCGACCTAAGAGCAGACTGGGCCTGTCGATAGAGGAGGCGGGACCCGGCGACCACGGGGGTGGACAGCGCTGACAGGTAAGAGGTGGGCAGCCCATCTAAGACACTGCAGAGCCCACTATAGAGAGTCTATGGTGGGCTCTGCAGGGTCACTCTCTGTGGGCTCTGCAAGTGGCATGACCTAGCAATCACGGGGCCCCATACAAAATTGTGCTATGGGGCCCTGTGATTTCTAGTTACGCCCCTGATTAGAGTGTATCTGTTGGTTTGAGCCAACTGGTAAAAAGTCTCGCCTAGGCAAGTTTAAAAAAAAATAGTTTTGACTTCTTCTGGCTTTTTGGGTGATGGGAGGACGCTATATTGTGTCCTCCCGTTACCCTTAGGAGAACTATGGGGAAAAGCCCTGACCCCGTAGTTCTCCCAAGTCGCATTGCAATGGAACTCACGGCATGGCGGTACTGCACGTTCCGGCCATTGAACTGTGGGTGGGAGGCGTGTTTGGTGTACCATTCAAATGAATGGCAATGCAACGCACGTCCCACACCAGAACATGTAGTAGGAGCGATTGCATGGTACAGTGTGTTAATTGCACAGGACTGTTCGATGAGCGCACTGTACTAGTGTGAACGAGCCCTCATAAACACAGACCTACACACAAACAACCACAGACAGTCTCACCCACGCATATACGTCTCCCTACCTTAAAAGAACTGGAGTAGATCCTCAGCCTGGGGTCCAGTATGGGTTGCTGTGCTGTGATGGTGCTCCATCCATGTGTGCATTGCTTGTGCAGCTCCTGGTGAACCCTGTAGAGGTGCCGGGAGCCAGAATGTCACTCCGGTCCAGGCACCTCTACAGGCCACACGAGGGAGCTGTAAGCAATGCACGTATGGATGGAGCTCCTTCGCAGCTATGGCTCCAGCCTGCCCTGCCTCAAGCTGACACTCGGCACCGAATGAATGGCTGCTCGGTACGAGAACTGACAGTGCTGCGCTAAGGGGAGGCTGAGGAGCCTCTCGCCTTGAACAGTAGAAGGTATGCCGCGACCCACTTTTGGGTCACGACACACCAGTTGAGAACAAAGGTTCTGCATCGCATCTCCGTGAAGAGGTGGCCATCTTGGTAGAGGCAGGGGCCTTTCTTACCAGTCTTAGAGCTGCCCATTAAGCTGGTGGGGAATAATCGGGAAACACGGATCCCCAGAATGAATGAAGCACTGAGATTCTTGCGCTGCAGGTCCCCGGGTACGGCTTCCTCTCCAGCAAGGAGAACGGTGAACAGCGCAGTAGCGCCATTGCCGATCTCATTACACTGGCAGTCGGAGGCAGCAGTGCCTTAGATGATCTCGCATTGCAGACATACAGCGATTGGGCTACAGGACAGAAGTGTGTAAGCACAGGAAATGCATTGTAGACAAAATGTAAACCTTTCAGGGTACCGCTTAGGAAACATGCTGACACTACTATATACACACCCATATATACCAGCAATAGGAGGCAAATACTAAAATCATAATACAAAATCCTATTGTAAAGGATGCACCGAAATTTTGTCTGCCAAAAATGGTACTATGGGCAAAATGGACAAAAAGGGTGGAAAACTCAGCGCATCCTCAGCTTCCCTCCTCTGCGCTGGTCTCTGGATGCAAGCTTTGGTCTGTTTTCCCTCCGATCCCTGCTACTCTTCTTTGCCTGTGTTGGCAGCGGGGATTGGAGGGGGGCACCGATATGATCCATCTGCCAGCTCCCAGTAGGGAGGAGAGAAGCTGTCGGGAATCTGAGTAGGAGGGAGCGAGAGGAGCGTCAGAATCTGTAAATGATCTTATGCTGTACTGAGCAAACACCGAGCGATCACTACTGACCTATCTGTGTTCTTCAACAACTGAGGACATAGTGATTGCTATGTCCCCAGTTATGAATGAACAGGAAGTGCTATATATCACTTCCGGTTTATGACTGGAGACATAGTAAAGATTTACCATCTGCTCAATTTTATGAATGAACAGAAAGCGGCTCAGCACAGAGGCTTGCGGTTTATTCATGACTGGGTTGTTAGTAAATATTTACTATGTCCAGATTGTGAATGAACAGGAAGCCTCTGTACTGAGAGCTTCCTGTTCATTGAGTGCTGGGGCTGCAGAAAAGGAGATTTAGGACTCTGTCCTCAGTCCCTTTTTTTTTTTTTTAAAAGGGGAAATATTAGGACCCCTGATATTTCCCCAAAGCCCCCAACCCTAAAAAAAATAAAAACACAAAATAAAAAATAATTTGAAAAAGGTTTGGTAGGAAAAAAAAGCAATTTTCGGTTTCGGCCTGATGGATTTTCAAGTTTCTGTCTAAAAATGTAATTTTGGTGCATCACTTGTATGTCCAGCTCCACTCTTGGCTCATCATAAGCTCAGCTAAACTCCTCCTAGGATGGTGCAGCTGTACATGTAACGAAGGATAATTTATTGTATTCTGACCGGTGTTCCGATGGGATTCTTATTGGTCTGTTTAGGGAATTGCTGACATGTTTGCTTTTATGTATCATAAATGTTATTATTATTTTTATAGGAAGTGCTAGAACTGATTTTATCCATTTATTCGCTTATAATTTTTTTTTTTGGAGCCAACATCTACCTTTTGGTAACTGTTTTATGTGTGACTTGTACTTGTTGTATTAGCTGATTTGATCCGGATATTCCAGAGGCAGAGCTGGTCAGGAGCATTGGGGTGTAGTATTGTCTCGTAAGGTGAGGCAATGAAGACCGGCTTCCCAGTTCACGTTGCTCTCCTCTTGCTAGATCCGTCCCCTCCTCACGAACCGCTGGACTTGTATCCCACGCCGCTGGATTCAGGGGGAATATTATCGTGACAAGTATTATTATTACGTCATCTCGATGTGTTAGATTGTAAAGAGCTTTGGGCTTCTCGGTTTTTTCCTTTCCCAAATTTCCGTAGTAAATATTCCGACTCTGTCATTCATTCATCATTATCTGGGGAAAAATACCGTGTTTTTTGCTCCATAAGATGCACTACCCCCCCCCCCCCCCCCCCCCCCCAAACAAGGGGCAAAAACCATTTGTGTTGTTTTTTTCCCCCCCCACCCCCTAAAAAGGCGGGCAAAAATGTCTTTGTGCGTCTTATGGAGCGAATGTGTGAGAGCTGACAGTGTACCCAGGTGTGGAATTCCTATCGCCCGGGACATGCAGTTTCGGGGCGTTATTTTTTGTACATTTAGCCCGGCTCCTGACAAGCAGAGCTAAATGTATAGTGTGGAGCCGCGGAGATCCTG